CCAACAAATTGCCGGTTTCGGTGAACGATTGCAGCAAGTCTTGATCGATGGTCTGCCCATCTTGGCCGAGCCGTAATTGCTGCGAGATCTGCTGCCCCATGCCCACATAGCGTTGCATCTGGTGGAGCATTTCCCGATGAGCGGTTTCTTTTTCGTAAACTTCCACCGCTTCGGTAAGCAGATCGATCAGTTCGTCCGGGTCCCAAGGCTTCGTCACGTAGCGGTAAAGTCCGCCGGTGTTGATGGCCTCGATGACCGACTTGATGTCCGCATATCCAGTGAAAAGGATTCGCGTGGTTTTGGGGAACCGCCGGCAACAATGACTGGCCAGTTCGGCCCCTGTCATTTCCGGCATACGCTGATCGGTCATCAGGACGGCAATGGGGTGCTCGGCCATGATTTGCAAAGCTTCTTCGCCTGACGTCGCCGTATGCACGGTAAACTGTCGGCGCAGCAGGCCAATCAGCGAGTGCAAGATATCTGGCTCGTCATCCACCAGCAAAATCGATGGCTTATTCTTCATGACTACCTCCCGTGGTTTGACTCTCGAGCGGTCGTACAGGCAATTGTACACTAAAAGTGCTGCCGCGGCCCAATTGACTGCGAACTTGAATCGAACCTCCATGGTCGCGGACGATGCCGTAGCTGACCGCGAGACCCAGCCCTTGGCCGCTTCCTACGGCCCTGGTTGTGAAAAAGGGTTCAAAGATATGAGCTAGCTCGCTATCTGACATACCGCAGCCATGGTCTTGAACTTCGATTTGGACACCTTCTTCGCAGCGGGAAGAACGGAGCGAGATATGGCTGCCGGGTTGGCTCGCTTGGACTGCATTTAGCAATAAGTGGTGCAGCACCTGTTGGATCTTGACGGGCTCGCACAGAATGTCGGGCACTTCGCCGGGGTCGAAGGACAGTTCGATCTGACGCGACTCGATTTCATGGTGCAGCAGCTGCGAAACGGCAAACAACGCCGCGTTGACGTCCATGTAGTCGAGTTCCGCTTCGTCGAGCCGAGCAAACGAACGGAGGTTCTGCACGATGTCGCGGACGCGCTGCAGGCCATGCTGCGAACGGTCGAACATCTGGGGGGATTCGTCGCGAATCCATTGATAGTCGCACTCTTCTTCCAGCTCGGCTGCTTTCTGGGCGACTTCAGGATGGGTCTTGGCGATCTCTTCATGCAGCGATCGATATACGTCCAGCAGTTCGACTGCCGCAGCGACGTCG